CAAGACCCCTGAACTTTGAAGAGGAGCACGTGCCAGTGGAAAGCTACAACTTCATAGAAATACTGGTAATCACCACTTTATACTGTTCGTCGCCCCTACAATTTGATCGCAGTTCAGTAAGTCTCGACAGAAAGGTGTGCGTCACCACTTTTACTGCCCATGAGCATTGCAGTCACAGTTCAGCGTTAGTTAAACTATGCAATCCATGCCTGAAAATGCGGACCCTTCTACTGCATTCTGCTCTGGATTTTAGCGCTCCAAGGTAAAATATATTTGACCTGGTCTAAAACACTTTTACTCCCATGGAGAAGCTGTATTGACCCTCTGGATTAAGGTACATAAAGATACATAAAGAGCTCGGTATGCAGGGTCTGCCATCTGTTAGATTCAGCTTTTGTAGAAAAGTTCTCTTACAATGCTGACCGCGTCAGTCCATATCATTACAACGTGTACTAATGGTCTCGAGACTATTTAGAGGCTAGCTTGACCCTCTCGATTCTCCCACTCGTACTTTCACTTCACAGACAACAGGTATGTACCTCCTTCTTTGAATCGCTGTTTGACTTAAGTTTGTTGGTGGGTCTCAGTTGTGAAAAGGATAAAGCACATCATTTGAAGAGCCGTCATCAACAGAAGGAAAAAAGCCTGTGGACAATGGCAATTTCTACTTCATCCACACTGTGACCTTTTCGTACAAGTTTGTGTAACATATCCTGGGAACCTGAATCTAAGCATCCCTCCTCAAACATCTATCAGTTCCTTTTCTTTACAAAACTGTTCAAATCTATCAATTTGAAAGCCAAAAATTCATCATTAAATAGCTACTCAGGAGGAGCAGAAATACTAGACAAATCCTAAAAAACCGAACAAAATTTATTGATTGATCTTCAAAGAAAAGTAATCATCAAAGTCAAACATCCATTAAAAAGGTACATGATTTCCAAGATCCTGGTAATGTAAATGGTGAGCGATACCCAAGACAATAAGGAATGCGAGAGAAACGAGATGCTTCGATTTTTTGGAAGTTTGTTGTACTTCCGTGATTTCTACTGCTTCTGAAGAACAGCCACGCCAGGATAGTAACGTCTTAAAGAGTTTATGTTGGAGAAGAAAGCTTGAAAAATGAGCAAATGATCTTGGACATCAACTGACTCGCAGTTCATGTTACTGTGGTGTTCCCATTGGTTCGTCTCAGGATCGAAAATTTCAACCGAAGTATGACCACGTCCGCCAATAGCATACAGTTTTCCATTGACAGCAGCCAGTCCTAACTGAAAATGAGAAAGAAACTATCTCACAGACAAAGTAGATGGTCATTGAGAACATAACTGACTTACTCCATCTCGGCTACAGCTCATTTCAGTCACTGGAGTCCACTTATTAGCACGGGGATCGAACTTCTCAGCAGAGCTCAGTTCGCGCAAACGTTTAATGTATCTACCCAACCTTTGGGTGTATCCACCCACTGCATACAATTTGCCATGGAGCACGGCAGAACCATGACTTTGCCGAGGTGTTGACATGGGACAGACCCTTTCCCAAATACCGACACGTGGATCGAGCCTGAAACCGGAAAGGCTATACCTACGGCTGTTCCAACTTGACATTTATTCACAACTCATCCCGAGATGATCCCGAAAGGATAAAAATCCGATATAGGACTATTGCAAGCACAATGAAATCAGCTTGCGCACCGCTCTTGACAAAACCTCAGCATTTTGCCGGAAAACTTTACTGTCGTTTTAATCTCTTGATTCTGAAAGCAAGAAGGTACGGTACTCCTGCTTCCCTTGAACTGTATGATGACTAGTTGGTTTCGAAGAACTTGAAAGGATTGTGCGCCGATTCTCGGCTCCAATAAAGAATCATTTGCAGGAACCTTAACCGCTCAACCTCCTCATCAACCTCATTTGTAACTGTTTTGAAGAAACAATTCCGATTAAATACAATCAAACTTTTTGATCCTTACTATTTCACTGAGTAATTAAGGATTTCAAGCGTTAAAAAAACTTTGCTCTAAGCAATACAGAGTCACCAGATTAAAACTGACCCACCTCTCTACGGTATTGAGTTCAATACGATTATTGCTCCCTCCTACTGCGTATAGGCAACCATCTAACACGGAGAGAGAAAGAGTGGCCCGACCTGAACTCATAGGTGCCGCAGAGCTCCACTCATTTCGTCGGACGTCATAGCTGCAGCGACACAACGGAATTCAGCATATGCGAAATTCGATCAAAGCTATTTCTACCGTTCAACAATGTCAAGGTCTCTGTGACGACCCTTTTTGCCTCCCACTGCATAAAGATGGTGGTCAAGAGCAGCTACCACGAATGAGCTTCGACTAGAAGGACAGGGAGCAACGACAGACGTCCACTGGTCAGTAGCAGTATTATATCTGAAGAATTACATTGGAAAAACAGTTTCTTCACTTCACATGCCTTTACACCTAGCTTTGAGAAAATTAGGGGAATTACTTTTACTCAATTGGCAAAACCTCGAAATAAGTAACAATACTCACCGTAAGAACTCGATTCACGCGAATACCGCTAACNCTGGTCAGTAGCAGTATTATATCTGAAGAATTACATTGGAAAAACAGTTTCTTCACTTCACATGCCTTTACACCTAGCTTTGAGAAAATTAGGGGAATCCCTTCTACTCAATTGGCAAAACCTCGAAATAAGTAACAGTACTCACCGTAAGAACTCGATTCACGCGAATACCGCTAACTTGCGTCTTTTTTGTATTTTCTCCATATGTCGATTTAGAGTGGAGTATTCCAGGAGATGAAGATACCGTTAAACTCAGCTTGTCGAGCCCTACAAGCTGCATAGTGATGAAAATGCTTCGTTCTGGATTACGCCAAACACTTGAGTTCCATCCGAAAAGTAATTGCATGCCCATTGAATGCACGCTTCAATGCTTGTTGTGGCCACTGGTCCCTGAGGAAGGAATGTTCAAAATTCGGTTCAAAGTGAGCCACATTCTCGACATACTTAGTAAAATGTGAAAGTGATTGATTTAGTCTCCATCGTTCATTTCTAAAGCCTTAACTGTCTGCATCTACACTCTCAGTACTCATCATCCCTCCTTATAGGTTCCATTTAGAATATGACATCGTCTTACGGCAAAATAATTGATTCGATTTTTTGACATTTTGCAATTTTTTGAGAGACTTTTTTCCTCGAGGAAGTCTGAGAATTTGGCGTAAGACACTCTTTTGTCGTGGACAACTCTATGTTCTTTGCAAGACCATGGTGGCAGGCCTTGTCATGCATAAAAGTTTGTCCCCTGCACTGGCCCCAAACTTCGTCACTCTTGGTCACGCACAAATCACAGAATTTTGTTTTTCCCTACCCATTGGCCTTTTTGCAAATAAATTGAACGCTGCTAGATTCCCCGTGAAAGATGCTATCTAATGATATAGGCAAAGTCGAGTACGTGGCACACTTTTAAGCATGTTCTGAACATTTCATCCTCAGAGACCGATCAGCCCCTACAAGCACTTAAGCGTGCACCCCACGTACATGCAACTACTTTTCGAAGGGACTCAAGTGCATGGCGCAATCCAAACCAAAGCATTTTGAATAGTTCAAAGCTTCGGCTTATAGAGCTCGACGATCTCAACGATATTTTCAGCTCCAAGAATACTTCAATCTGGAAAGAATTATGGATGAAAGACGAAAAAGACGAGCGGTAGGCTTAGCTAGCGGCATTGGCGTGGACTTGCGAGTTCTCATGCGGGTACTGTAGAATCAAAACTTTGGGGAAACAGGCTTCAAAGCTGACTACGTCCCCCTTCGCGTGCATTTATCTCTATCTACTTGCTTATTTCTTTGTTTTTCAACAGAAAAGAGACCTTCGTCTGACCTCATTCCTATTGAAATACCGACCAAACTCTTGAGTTAAGACTGATTCAAAGGTAAGATACGAGAAAACGGCTTTTATCTGCTTTTTAAGGGGAACACGGTACCTTTCGATGCTGTCGAGAAGAGGAGCAAAGGACAAAACAGGGCCACACACAGCGTAAATGAACTTGCCGACAGCAGCCACGCCGCTAAGATACCTGAAGAATTAGGCATCCTTTGAAATGACAAGCGGATATTAAAGATTGTTGTACCGATACTGCTTGAGAGGAGCTACGTACTGCCATNGTGAATGGTTGAGAAAAAGCCAGTACGGAAGCCGCCATGGTGGGAGAAAACCAATTCGATCCGTGTCTTCGCGGCACTGAGACAATGAAATTCACGGAAATTTTGTCAAGTCTCACCCACATAAATTACTTCAGTAACAACTTCACACACTCGAGTGCGCCTCCCTTTCCTGGGGACCTTCGAGTGAAGACATTTGAAGAATCAGGTCGCTCTGAAACTTCAATCATATTCCAAACGCGATTGACAAATTTGAGGAGCAGGCCTACTGCGAATAAGTTACTGGGAAGTGCGTCTAACCTTTGCTTGGTCAACAAGATTGTGGCAGGTGGCGTCCGCCATCACAAGCGCATTCTTACTCACTGTATTGACGAGAAACTCTGGCCGACAAAGAGGAAGTCGCACGTGCTCCAACAGCTGCAAAAGTTCGGTGAAGCCAATGTAGGGAGAAGCTCGTTGCCCTACCTTCGGAAGCAACTGCTTTCGAGATGACAAGTCGAACTCAACCCACTGGATTACTGCAGTGAAAACCTGGCGTCATGCTTGTTGCTAACACACTTGAAGATTTGAGTATGCAAAATTACCAAATAAGAGCAGAGCTTTTCCTTTAGGATTGACACATTACCTGCTCTTCAGAAGTTACAACAAGCTCATCGTTCGATATGAGCTGAACCATTTGATTTATTGAAAGCTGATGAAACTCTTCAGTACCAATAAGCTTCTGAAGAAAGGCAATGGTTGTGCCATCAAACAGCTTTAGAAAGAAGTGGATACCTGGAAAACCTTCAAGATATAGTCATCAGCATAGCGAACAAGGTCATGGCATGAATGATTATCGGCAAGAGCTCGAACTGCAAGGCATTTCGATGGGCGCAAGTGCCTCCTCAGAAACTCACAACAGGCTTCCTGAGCAATAAAATAGGTATGTAATCTCTTATATGGAGTTCCTGAACACTGTGAGCTCTTATAGAAATTAAACACCTGACCTTGACTTCGTTCAGCTGAAGAAGGCAAGCCGCGTGCAGTATGCTCGAAACATTGATGCCGTCAATTTGTATCTCGCCACAGTAGCAGAAATCGATCAGAGCATCAAGTGCTGGCGCTTCGACATCGAACATTTCTATTTCTTCTAAAAGAAGAATTGAAAGACCCTGTCCAGCAACACATATCACAAGTTGTGAACTTACGCTGCCGAGATTCGCGCATTTCACTGGTGAACATGGCCTTAAAGTAGTCTGAATAGGAAGCGA